TTACGGGAGTAGAAAGCCTCATCTTTCTCCCGCGGAGCGGCTGGTAGTTTCGAACCGCTGACCTTAAGGTTCGCAGCCCGATTCGTAACCACTACGTATGTGGTGAGGCCAGGACTCAAATCCATGCTCTAAACTAGAGCCATCATGAACAATTGGGTGAATGGTTATGTAGGACACCTATAAAATGGGAGAAATAGCTCTAAAGAGGAAAATAGAATAGAGATATGGATGAATATATAGCAGATGGATGGAATGGAAAAACTGGAGAAGGAAAAATCAGAAGACAGGAGGAAAGATAGATACTCACATCCATATGAAAAGATGAATGGGTATGTGGAGTCTGCGTGAATTCGTTGGTATGTTTATGGATAGTATTTAAGGCTGAATTGAAGCAGCAAAGGGGTTCAGGAAGGGGAGAGGAAAGGAAGGAAAGTCGATGAATGGAAAGACAGATGAATGATGAATGAATGGGTGAATGTATAGACTAGTATGTAATGGGTAAGTGAAATCTCTAGGTACAGTGAACACAGATGGGCAGGTGATAGAAGGTATGTAAAGAATGCATATATGGGAAATGTAGTGAGTATAGCATTTATGGTAGAAGGGAGGAAGGTAAAGGAATAAAAGGAGGGAAACCAATAATGTGGATAAATAAATGCATTAATAGATAAATGGATGGGTAAAGTTGTCTGATACTTGGAAGGAAGGAAACTGTAGAACAAAATGGCACTGGACCAATTACATGCATGGATGGGATGAGTTAAAGGAGAAAGGGGGGAAGACGAGAATGAGGAAAGTGAGTATGAAAGATATATAAATAGTGGGGTTCGGCTAGAAGAGAAGTAGAGCAAAGAGTGGAGGATGGCTTGAAGTATGAACAGATACATTCATGTGTTGGATTGGTAGATGGATAGATGAATATATTAACAAGTGGACTTGGTAGGTAAAATGGTGGCATTACTGAAAAAGTAGGGTTAGATTCATAATTTAGTGGATTGATATATAAAATAGGTGGGGTGGAATTGGAGAATAGGGGGGAGGAAGCATAAATTAACTGTGTAAGCATGGATGAATAGAGTTAGATGTTTATTTAGATGGATAGGTGGGTGGGTAGATGGATGATTAGTGATTGGGTGGACAAGTGAGTGGGTGGAAGAACAAGTGGATGACTAAGTGGAGAAACTGATGGATGGAAGTGTGGTGGATTGGTAAGTGAGAATGTGGATAGATAAGTAGATGGAAGGGGTAAGGTGAATAAATGGATGGAAGGATAAAAAGATGAGCTAAAGGATGGATGGATGGATGGATGGATGGATGGATGGATGGATGGATGGATGGATGGATGGATTGATGGATGGATGGATAGATGGGTGGATGGACACAAAGGTGAGTTGATGAGTGAATGGATGAATGAATGGATGGAAGGATGGGTGGATAGATGTGTGAGAGGGTGGGTAGATGGATGGATGGATGGATCAATAGATGGAAATGAGTGGATGGAAGGGTGGGTGATATTCAGAAACACAGCATCCTCCCTTCTAATGTATTATTTCTGATTTCCCTACCGCTGCCATTTCCCTACCACTCATATTAAGTAGCTGTCATTTCCTGGAGACATCTATTCCTCTTCTCCTACCCACCATCCCTACCCTCCTTCAAGCCACGTGCTCTCTTACCTTGACCCTGGACCGAGACGACCCTACCTCCTTTTGACCTCTAGTCTCCTCTTGTCTCCCTTCTCCAGTGCATACAGGTCATGTCATCCCTTTGCAATGAAATTCAAATAGCTCACAACGGTCTTTTGAAATCCTTCCCTACATAGTCTCAAGTTGCCTTTCCAGAACGACCTTCTGTTGCTACCTACAGAGGATGGTGTTTCTGTTAGGTGCCATTGAGTCACTCCCAACTCATAACACAATCAAATAAAACATTGCCAGGTCCTGCACCTCACAATTGTTGTTTGACCCCATTTTCGCAGTCCCTGTGTTAATTGGCCTTCCTCTTTTTGCTGACCCACAGAGGAGTGTTGTTGTTGTTGTTGTGTGCCATCGAGTCGGTTCCGACCCATAGCGACCCTGTACAGGGTTTCCGAGGGTGTAAATCTTTACGGGAG